ACTTACGTACAGCTCTCCTTCCCAGGGCTGCGCGATATATCGAATCCTGGTATCAACAGCAGACGGGTAGACCGCATGCTGTGGAACACCCTGTAGTGCCTCTGGCTCCGTCTGAACACCACGGCTCCACTTCTCTGGCTGGAACCTCTCAGTAAAAGTCGGCATAGCATCTCTCCCTCTGCTCACGGCACGTGAGCTCAAGGCCTGGGAGGACTCTGAGTCCTGAAGAATCGTTCGGTCCTGAAGCTGAAACATGCCCACCAACGCTGTCAAGCGTGCTTCCTGCTCTCCAGTTCTATCCTCTCGATTCAACAGGTCCAACAGCTCCTTGCCTTCAGCCTTTGAAAGACCTCTCCTTGACGCTGGCTTGAACATCTTCATCTTGAACATCTTCATCTTCACTGCCTTCTTCACATCACCAGCTGCCCTCTTGCTCCATTCCCACAACAGCACCGTTGTCACAACGACCAACGTCACAGCAACCCACAGCTCGTAGTCTGAGTCTACTCCAGTGTATGTTTGAAGTGGTCCTGACTCCTCTCCAAGAACACCAGCAGTCAAACCCAAACCAGCTAAGACCTGGATACACCTACTCAGGGTCCCTCCATTCTGGGTGGTGCTGTTGGATGGTGCGAGTGACCCGGCTGTGGCTTCAATGCTGCTTGGTGATGCTGTGGCTTCGGTACTGCTTGCTGATGTTGCGGCTTCGGCACTGCTTGCTGATGCTGCAGCTTCGGCACTGCTTGCTGATGCTGCGGCTTCGGCGCGATTTTCAAACCTCACCGATCTCCTCAACAATCTCATCTGAGGCTCCCTCCTGAAACCCCACTCACCCAGCAGCATCCATGACCTTTCCGCTGATAACTGCTTTGTTAATCCCCGAAGGCAGGAGTCAGGAAAGAAGGCGGCAGGAGACCCTCTCAATAAGGTCCCTTTTAAGGGAGCCACAAGTAGGGTTCGGAGGGGGTAGCCTGTAACGGGTCTCCCTCATTGCGCCTGTGAAGGGTTGCAAATGCTCTTCAAAGTAGCAACTTTACCTCGCATTCGTGCACTCGATCACGCCAATCCCTGTGAAGGGTTGCAAGTTCGCGCACTCGACCACGCCAATCCCTTTGAAGGGTTGCAAGTTTCGCATCAATGCGCAGCAATAATTGCAACTTTACCTTGCGTTCGTGCGTTCGACCACGCCAATCCCCGTGAAAGGTTACAAAGTTGCCAATCCCTGTGAAAGGTTGCAAATTCGTGCACTCGACCCGCCAATCCCTATGAAGGGTTGCAAATTTCGCATCAAGGCGCATCAAAAATTGCAACTTTACCTTGCGTTCGTGCGTTCGACCACGCCAATCCCCGTGAAACGCTACAAAGTTGCCAATCCCTGTGAACGGTTGCAAATTCGTGCACTCGACCCGCCAATCCCTGTAAAGGGTTGCAAAGTGCGTGCACTCGACCACCTGAATCCCTGTGAAGGGTTGCAAAGTGCGTATGGCGATTTGTCACTTTACCTCGTGTTCGTGCGTTCGACCACCCGAATCCCTGTCAAGGGTTGCAAAGTGCGTATGGCGATTTGTCACTTTACCTCGCGTTCGTGCGTTCGACCACCCGAATCCCTGTCAAAGGTTGCAAAGTGCGTATGGCGATTTGTCACTTTACCTCGCGTTCGTGCGTTCGACCACCCGAATCCCTGTCAAGGGTTGCAAAGTGGTATGGCGATTTGTCACTTTACCTCGCGTTCGTGCATTCGACCACGCGAATCCCTGTGAATGGTTGCAAAGTGCGTATGGCGATGTGTCACGTTACCTCGCGTTCGTGCGTTTGACCACGCGAATCCCTGTGAAGGGTTGCAAAGTGCGTATGGCAATGTGTCACTTTACCTCGCGTTCGTGCGCTCGACCACGCGAATCCGTGTGAAGGGTTGCATTCCCGATCGATGGGGATGGTGCCACTCCGGCTATAAAAGAAAGATCAATATACCGAGATAGAGTTTGAGTATAGTAGAGTGTATATCGTAGACATACAGAGTCATTGGAGTCAATAGAGTCAAGCACATAGAGTCTATAGAGTCATAGAGTCATAGAGTCATAGAATCATAGAGTCACAGAGTCACAGAATACTAGAGTCACACTAGAGTCACATAGAGTCAAATGCATCACTGCACTCTTTGTACTTCACCTTATGTGTCTTCTCTGCGGGGCTCCACACGGAAGAACCCTTCGCGATGCTTTCGAGAAAAATCAGCAATGCTGGCAAACGGACAGGATTGTAGTCGTGATGTGAGGGGGCATACAGTGGTCGACAAGAGTAATTACTACAGATCCAGCTTTGTCTGTGGTGTCAGGGCACGCAAGTGCATCGTCCTTCTCGTTTCCCAACCAACAAAAGCCGTGCATCGGTTACAATCCAGATTGTGTGCGTTGACCGTAAACCCTTGCTCGCAACACATCTGCGGAAACGCGCCTTTCATCCTCGGGAGGGCGGCGGGCGAGGCGATCCTCAACAGCAACCACGCAATAACAGCGACTTCCACTCAATCTCCCTGTGCATGTCTATCCGTTGCTCTGTGTAAGCTGCCCAAGGCTGCCACGGCCATGTTGTTGAAGACAACACGAAGGTCCGGGTTTCTCCTGGCCGATGCGAGGTGTTGAAAATCTTATATGTGCCTGAGTGTAAACTCATGTTTCTACGTGCTTACAACAAGAGAAGCTTGCATCAGCTGGCATGGCGATGTCGGACTGGATTTGGGATGGTTTTTAGATGGTTCGTGGTCAAACTGTTCCTCGATAGCCTACCTGGTCGGTGGACGTCGGCCCCGATTTCGGCAAAAGCGCCCAAACGTCTCTAGCCTATCGTGGTGTCCCGGTCGTCGGGTTCTGTTCCGGTAAACTGGTAGTGCGTCCCGCCTGTCGGTGTGCCGGTCGCGTTTTGGTCAGTGTCCCGGTCGTGTGTTCCTGTCGTCTCTCGGTCGTGTGACATATCCCGGTCCCGTCAGTGTCACGGTCGTGTGTTGGTCGGTGTCCGGGTCGTCCTGGTCATGTCCCCGTCGGTGGATCAATCGTGTTTCGGGGTGTCCCGGTCGTATCTCGGTCGGTGTCCCAGGCTTGTCGTAGTCGGTGTATCGGTCGTGTCTTGGTCGGCGTCCCGGTCGTCTGTCCACGTAAGTAATGTGAAATGTCCCGGTCGTCTCGTGGCCGGTGTCCTGGTCGTATGTATCGCTCGCGTACCGGTCAGTGTCCCGGTCGTGTGGCGGTCGTTGTCCTGGTCGTATCCCTGTCGGTGTATTGGTCCATATTGGTCGTGGTTCCGTCAGCTTCCCGGTCGTGTCTTGGACGCGTCCCGGTCCTTGTCATAACCCGGTCTTCCAAGTGGCGCAAGCCTGAGATGTAAATTTAATTTCTTTCCGGTGTATTGGACTGCAGTGGTGCCCCAAGCGTCGCCGTCCTGCGCCGCATGCGGCGCCCCAGGGTTAAGATTTACAATTTGTTTCCCGTGTTTTGGGGCTCAAGTGGTGCCCAAGTGCCAAAATGCACGACATTGTTTCGGGTGCTTTGGGCTCCAAATGGTGCGCCTGCCCTAAGATGACCGATTGTTGCCGGTGTTTCGGGCTGCAGATAATGCCCGAAGGATAACATGTACAATGTACGACTTGTTGCCGGTGTCTGTGGCACCAACTGGTACCCCAGCACGAAGGTGTACGATTTGTTGCCGGCTAAGGTGCAACACAGTGCGAACAGAGTGTTCGATTTGTTGTCGAAATCTTGGGCTCCAAATTGAGTCCCACCTTCAGGCGGCGGGCTAGTGGACGGCCAGAAGCGTCACATCGCCCAATCGTTAAAAACTGTCAAGCAGAGCTCAAATCTTCACAGGGTGGGAGAGCTACATAATGCACTTTCCATCTTCTCATAGCATGTGAAGACAGACAGAGCAACCATGGTTTGCTATTCAGGTCAGCATCTGTGTTAATTGGGTTCCCAAAACTCTGAAACAGAACATGCGACGATTTCAGCAATGCTCAAACATTCACGGCAACGCGATTCGGCTTGGTGGACTGCCTGTCGAAATGACAGTGATGGTCACTGCGGAGCCAATTGATGGCAATGTTGTGCTTTCTTGTCAGAAGCATCAATCGTCACAGCCAGAGCCACCGGAAAGTAAGGTTGGCTTGAGCAACGCAGGATGATTTCTCTACCCAACAACTGATGTACAACACTGTAACTTGAAGAGAAGCGCACAGAATGCAACTTTATTGCTGATAGCGGTTCAAGGCAAGATGTGACGGAAGTCCTGCGAAGCGCATCTCGAACACGCTGCACTAGGGCCTTGCGCAAAAGATCATGTGTTGGCAATCCTCCGAAAGTTTGAAGCGGTCGGTTATGGCATGGGGTTGACCCTGGTGACCAGGTAAGAGAGGCACGTCCAAGTCGCGCAAACCAAGATGTGCCTCGCAAATCAGACTATCAAATTGCCTTCTTGCCAACATTTCACGAAGATCTGAACTCGCCGTCAAGGTGCATCCAGCGGCTGCTCGGTATTAGCCATGCATTCTACGGTCCCTGTAGGTGTTGACAACTCGTTCACAATGCTGCGGCTGCATCCAGTTACCATGAGAAAATGCGCAAGATAGACTGCATAGTCGTCCGTCTTGAACATTGATTACGTTCTCTGAAGGATTTCTTGCATCAGAGTGCAAGCACTATTCATCGTCAGTCCTGAGGGTTGGATATGGTCTCTGCAGGATTTCTTGCATCGGTGCAAGCACTATTTGTCTATCCATAGCATCGGATGGGCGCAATCCGAGCCAGCTCGCGCATGCAACGCAACCTAGCTTTCAGAGATTGCCTGGGCAGCTTGCATCGGTGCAGCATGTCAAAAGTTCAAAGAACAGCTCAGTCACCCTGACGGCCAGCCCATACATGCATGCTAATCAGTACATCAAGCTTAGTCCACGATGAAAGGTGCTCCAGATCACCGCACAAGCCACGCTTCACACCAGCAGCTCTGCTTGTTTACACCACAAACTCAATCTGCCGTGGCAAGAAGCAGACGGCGTAGAGGAGCCGCCTGGGCTGCGTGGAAGCCATCAGAATTAGTTGCTGGATTCCTCCTGCTGGCACGCATGCATCTCGTACTGCATGCTCACAACATCGCCAAGCTGCGCTTGCTGCCGTAGTGCACAGAACAGCGGGCAGCAGCTGCGACGTCTCTCCTACACCGCCATGCTCAGGAAAGCACTGCAGCCATCCCTCAACCAGAAGTTGGGGCCTCCTCGAGGTACTGGCAGGCTTCCCTGTGCCTCCTTTCGTCCTAACAAAGCACTGCATGGGCAGAATGCCACCCAATCTCCAGACCAGGTTGTGGCGCGCGCCTCCTCCTCCTTCTCAAGGAATGCCGGTGGGACAATAGGGGCCTGGCAACCAACAGTCCACCATTTTTTCTGAGGCTTCTACGTTTCTCAGCTTCTGACCCCCAAGCGCTCGCGAGCAGCTTGGGTAGCCGCCCGTATCTTCAATGCCTGGTCAAAATGCACTAGAACAAGCTCCAAAGAAGTCCTGCGGCTGATCTCCTGCTTGCAGGACACACCTGAAACATGTTTGCCTTTTCTTCTTTAAAAGGAAGCCGGCACATTCCGCCTGCGCAAGAAGGTTGACATCAGCATGTGATCGCTTCAACACATCGTCAATGGAGAGCTCCTCCACACCTGATTCTTGCAAGCATGGCTTGCGTCGGACTGATGAGTGCTGGCGCCGTGATGGCTGTTCGCAGCTATGTGGAGACCAGGAAGAGTACTCTCGAGATCTTGGAGATGCGTGCTCTTGTTAGACCCGGCAGTCCGCTACAAGTTTAATCACCACTTTCATGCGCATGCCTCTCTGTGGTGAAACCTCTTTGACCTTCCAACAGCCCGAGCACTGCAGCGCAAAGACGCAATGCCAATGTGCGGCTCAATGTCTCTGGATGTTCAGCCCTTGTTGCTCCGGGAGGTTTGCGGATAAAGGTGCGAGCTTGTGAGTGCGAGAACTTGCGATGGGAGGATGGCAGCTGACTCAGCTGACCAAGAATCCAAGAGCTTGGCTGTGCTCAAGATCAGCATGTCCTTCCTGCACACCAGCATTTCATTCTGGAACTTCGTAGCCAAACATTAAACCAGGTTCCCACTTAGTCACTAGTCCTCATCATCCCGTTGTGGGCTCGACGCAGCTCTCGTTGTCGGCGTAAGAGGCGAGTCCTTGCTGCAGCAACAGCTTGGACACCGGTCATCCCGACGATAGGTTTTGTGGCGACCGAGGTGCTGCAGCGCTGTTGTTGCAAGACTCGAATTTCCTGGCGTAGGCCAACAAGTGCTTCCCGCAGTCGTCAAGCAACCGCACAATTGCCAAGTGCACTCGGGTTTGTCATCGACTTGATCGTCATGCCCCTGTCCGTTTGTGCCTGAGCAGACAATCTACATCTTGTTTCTGAGCTTTGCACAGAATCCACGACTGTCCAGCCAACATAAGACGTTCCCGTGCCAGGGTGCCGTGAGCCTTCCAGGACATTGGCACCTGCCGAGCTACATCCAGCGCACGGAAAGGTAAGCAGTGGTCGGGAATTTGCGCGAGCCAATAATTTGAGTGAGAGACTCCAAGACATGCAACCCCGAAAGGAGTCGAGGTTGGGGTGGCAGCTTCGGGTGTTCACTGGTTTTGCTTGAGTGTGGGCTGAATTTGGACGGTTGTGGCAGGGTTTTGCAAACCCACCGTCTCCAGCCCCATCCCGAAAGTTGATCTCCAAGCCATTGCAGGAGCAAGGCCCCAGCTTCGAGCGGGGCAGCTGCGTGATGCATTTGGCATGTTTTGGGGTCAGTTGGATATGGGCTTGAGTGCTGCTGACGCTCCCGCTCCCTGTGCACTCATACCCACCACAAGCCCGGCCCGTACCCACTCCAACATTACGCCTCAATCATCTTTTTCTATACGCTGATCCGTAGGGTGCCTGCCTGCCTCACGAAAGCAACGCCAAACCCGACCCACCCAATTTGTCCCGAGATCCGCCGAAAACCTGACCGGGCAAGCAAGCTTCCAACACTTGAGTCTGCTGCTACTGCTGGTGCTGCGGCTTATGCAGACAGGTCGATAGAGAGTGAGCGTCGAAGCTCACCTAGTCCATACACCAACCCGCCTACTAGTATCTAAGCCAGCGCAGGAAACCCCCAAATAGCCCATTCCACTTCAAGCAACTGGCAAGCAAAGGTGTGTGTGTGTGTGTGTGTGTGTGTGTGTGTGTAAAGCTGTCCGGGCGTAACAACAACCAGTGGCTCCTGGAAGATGACACCGTGGACCGAGACTAGAAGCCGTCAGGTCAGAACCGGATCCAGACTGTGATGGCGCTGGCCCGGGCCTTGCTGATGCTGGCCTTGGGGGCCAAGGCCTGCAGCATTAGCAGAACAAGAACTTCGCTCGGCTGTCTCCGTGCATCCCATTTGGGAACATTGGGTCGGAGCGTGCTCTGGTGCAGTTCCTGGGGGCGCCCGCTTCATTCTTGAGCGGCTTCCGCACCGAACAGTTGGGATAGCGGACCTTGGCTAGCTTCGTGTTCGCTATGCAGCTAGACGTACAACTATGAAAACACATTGAAGCAGACTGACAAGGCTGACAAGGCTGTAACACCCACCACCCTGTCAAACGTCAGTTAAAGCCTGTGACACAACAGCGACGTCAGGGCCCCGGGCCAATCTCGCTGAAGGTCCGGCCAAAAGAGTTGGATAGTGGCTTTGCCTGCACAAAGCCAAACAGACAACACGCTGCATCGCCACTCCTCGCAGAGCTGAGGAGCTCACACTGGGACCAAAGTGGGCTGCATGGCCTCGGCAGGCAATCACGCGCCTGCATGCACTTGGTAACCTGCCGAGGCCCCAGCTGCATGAACGTTGTAGTTGTACCTCCTGGGCAAAGCTGCGTATGACTGAGTGGACTTGCAACTGCGACGAACTGAGAGGCCCACGCTGGGACCGGAGGCACGGGTGACAATCTCTTGACCTCAGCGTCCAGCAGGTTACCGGAAAGGCGCGCCGTCGTGGAGCCGAGGCTTGAACTTGAAGCACTCGGCCGCGGCTCCTCATTCATGCTGCGACATGCTACCATACACACGCGCGCCGTCATTGCAACGACGTCTCAGGACGACACACGAAAACAGGCGGCGTGCGTTCTGCACCTGAAGCCTCGGTATACAAAACGGCACCATCAAGCTCGCCACAGTCTCGGCATAAGGCCCAAACAAGGAACACCTGTTTCCGAGGATAAACCCTGCAGGGCGCCGAGGGTTCAATACCTAGGGCTGCAATCTTGACTGGGCCTCGGCAGCATCATGCTTGCCATGGCGTTCCGTCAGCTCGATTGGTTTGACAAATATTCCTGCTCAAGTTCACAAGCATGCAATGTCAACGTGCACCACTTCAAAGAGCAGACATACTTAGTGCATCGTGCTGTCGCCCCCATCAACGGTGTGCCTGCAATGAAATGCGTGGCCTGTAACTATCCGCTTACTACTTGCCTGCTTGACACGGGCTGCAGAATCAAAGCAAACGCGAAAGCTGGCGCCTGCTACTTCAACGATGCACACCGTGCAGCTGACTGTGCTCCGCGGAAGCCCCTTGACGGAAGGGTTCGTGGCAGGTCGAACATCGCTATGCCATGCTATGCCTGTAGAGCCACCTCGAAAAAAGAGAGCCGTACAAGCATCCTGCCCCGGACGACTTTTCCGAATTTGTAGAGAGGGACAAAGCTTTCTGGTCGACGCAGAGCTGACAATCAGGTCGGAAGTAGCCACTGTACATCAAACGGCTGCCTGGAGGTCCGGGATGGTTCTGGCATGCTAGAAGATAACAGAAGAAGAAAAGTTCTCGAACTGTAGCCTGGGTAGGTTCTGCATGCAAGTCTGACTGATGTCCCGGAGTGTCGTCAGCTTGGCCGTACACAAATTCATTGCGTGCCTTTCTTGCTTCGCAAGCCGGGCTTCCAAGATGAGCGGCCGCTCTTCATGCTGCCAGGGTTCTCTTATCCATCCCCACCTTTTGCACCCAGTGGCTGGTCGGCTTGTTAACATTGTCAAAACTTATATTATGCAAGGCAACAAGGTAGCTACAAGATGGATCGCTGGACCTTGGCTTGAGCAGTGGCTCGAGGCGTGAGTTTTGAACATTTAACAATAGATAGACGTATAGAGGAATCAACTCTTGATGAAACTTCATGGCACTTCACTAACCAACGCGGGAACTGAAGCGTGCCTGTCGTGACGATCATCGTTCGGAACTGCTTCAGCTGTGTGCGCTTGTTGCCGGAGTTCTTGCAAAAACCTAGGAGCCGCGAATTCTTCGCTTCTGTTGCGCAAATAGTGTACTGTGCGCATTGCAGCCATCTCCAGAACTCTCGCAAGATCATGTTAGGAGTCAAACTCAACACTGCGGTCTGCCCATGTAGGGACGCGGTCGTAGCATACGCCAACACAACCCTGCCACACCAGCATGGGCTTGTGGTCACAGCCCCGCCGTCTGATCAGCGGATTTCTGTCCACCGTTGTTTGTGCGATATCTGTACCCAAACATGTACCCTCCTATGCGCACGCACTTGCACTCAGAGTCGTGTCTGCCCAGTGGGTTCCTTGCGTGGCAGGCCAGTACTATACTGGCCTACGCAACCACGTACCGCCATGCTGCGTGGGCTTGCACTCACAGTCCGCCCGACTGATCAGTAGATTCCTTCCCACCCTTGCTTTCTGGGAAATCTGCACCACACACTGCTTCTATGCACGCACTTGCACTCACAGCCGTGTCTGCCCCGTGGGTTCTTTGGGAAGCCAGCACTGTGGGCCACTAAGCTAACACCGCAGTACTCACACCCCCGCTTCCTCTTGAGAGCGGTGTCCGTCCCGCCCATGCCTTTGCGACGTCTGACCGCTGCTCACGCACTTCACAGCCGTGCCGTGTCTGCTGATGCCTAGGGAAGGCACTGTGGATTACCAGAAACCCAGACCACGTACCGCACTACCCGCATGGGCTCAGCGGATTCAATCCCACCCTTGCAATAGCCTCCTACACACATGCACTTGCGCTCACAGCCATGTTTGCCCAGTGGGTTCTTTGGAACTTGGGAGGCCGTTAGTAGCATACGGCAAAACACCGTCAACACAGACTGGCATAACACACGGGCTCGTGTTCAGAAGCCCCCATGTCCGATCAGTGGATTCCGCCGTGGCAATGGATGCCTGGTGATGCCAGTACTAGAATACAAGAACACGTTGCGCTCACAGCCGTGTCTGACGGTTCCTCGGAGAAGGTATACCACTTACGGGACTTTTGGAATCTAGAACACGTACCACCGTATCCCCATGGGCTTGCACTCACGGGCCACGGGCCCCTGCCTGATCAGCCGATTCCTTCCCACACCTTCGCCTTCGCCAGATCATCTTTCACGAAGCATCACAGGCGTGTTTGCCCACTGGGTTCCTTGGGACGCGGTCGTAGCATACGCCAACACAACTCTGCCACGCCATCATGGGCTTGTGGTCACAGCCCCGCCGTCTGATCAGCGGATTTCTGTCCACCGTTGTTTGTGCGATATCTGTACCCAAACATGTACCCTCCTATGCGCACGCACTTGCACTCAGAGTCGTGTCTGCCCAGTGGGTTCCTTGCGTGGCAGGCCAGTACTATACTAGCCTATGCAACCACGTACCGCCATGCTGCAAAGTCTTGCACTCACAGTACGCCCGACTGATCAGCAGATTCCTTCCCACCCTTGTTTTCTGGGAAATCTGCACCACACACTGCCTCTATGCACGCACTTGCACTCACAGCCGTGTCTGCCCCGTGGGTTCTTTGGGAAGCCAGCACTGTGGGCCACTAAGCTAACACCTCAGTACTCACACCCCCGCTTCCTCTTGAGAGCGGTGTCCGTCCCGCCCATGCCTTTGCGACGTCTGACCGCTGCTCACGCACTTCACAGCCGTGCCGTGTCTGGTGATGCCTAGGGAAGGCACTGTGGAGTACCAGAAACCCAGACCACGTACCGCACTACTCGCATGGGCTGAGCGGATTCAATCCCATCCTTGCAATAGCCTCCTACACACATGCACTTGCGCTCACAGCCATGTTTGCCCAGTGGGTTCTTTGGAACTTGGGAGGCCGTTAGTAGCATACGGCAAAACAACCGTCAACACAGACTGGCACAACACACGGGCTCGTGTTCAGAAGCCCCCATGTCCGATCAGTGGCTTCCGCCGTGGCAATGGATGCCTGGTGAGGCCAGTACTAGAATACAAGAACACGTTGCGCTCACAGCCGTGTCTGACGGTTCCTCGGAGAAGGTATACCACTTACGGGACTTTTGGAATCTAGAACACGTACCACCGTATCCCATGGGCTTGCACTCACGGGCCACGGGCCCCTGCCTGATCAGCCGATTCCTTCCCACACCTTCGCCTTCGCCAGATCATCTTTCACGAAGCATCACAGGCGTGTTTGCCCACTGGGTTCCTTGGGACGCGGTCGTAGCATACGCCAACACAACCCTGCCACACCATCATGGGCTTGTGGTCACAGCCCCGCCGTCTGATCAGCGGATTTCTGTCCACCGTTGTTTGTGCGATATCTGTACCCAAACATGTACCCTCCTACGTCCTTAACCCTTTGCGCCGAACCAGAACCACAGGGTGTAGATCAACAAGGCTTATATGAAAGGAACCCAAAATCTCATTTTTGTATGTGGTTGGCTTTATTTGTGTTTAAAAGTGTTTTTTTGTATTTAAAAGTATTGTTTTGTATTTAAAAGTTTTTTAATAGGTTTTTTTGTGTTTTACAGTTGTTAAAATTCTTTTATTTTATTTTTGGTGTAAAAAATACATGTTTGTGAATTTTGTTTCTGAGTGAGTCAATTGGCTTCCTGTTGTTCTACCTGGTTTCCTGCTGCTGTATGTCTACAAAATTGTTGTTTATTTGTTGTTGAAGTTAATAATTTTTAAAATTTAATCTTTTTAAATAGTTTTGGGTTGTGATTGAACAAAGAAGGGAGGCCGTAGTGACATGTTGACTTGCCTTGAGATCTTGCCCTTACCCACACGGATCGACTGCCCTTCTCGGTTCGTGGGCACCGTTGGCCGGGTGTCAGGTGTTGAGTCGATGGGACCTGGACCGCCTTGGGGCCAACGTGCCAGGGCAGTGGCATATGACACCCGGGCACATGGGCTAAAGTGCTGGGTGGGGTGGTCCAGTGGTTGTGGCTTTTTTATTAGCTCCCAACCAGGAGGGGAGGCCATCCATGCTTGTCGTCACGTTTTGTTAGGGAGCCTTGCGACTTGGATCGACAGAGGCAGAGTGCCACCTTACCCACACGGATCGACTGCCCATCTCGGTTCGTGGACACCGTTGGCCGGGTGTCAGGTGTTGTCGATGGTACCTGGACCGCCTTGGGGCCAACGTGCCAGGGCAGTGGCATATGACACCCGGGCACATGGGCTAAAGTGCTGGGTGGGGTGGTCCAGTGGTTGTGGCTTTTTTATTTTTCTCCCAACCAGGAGGGGAGGCCATCCATGCTTGTCACGTTAGTTAGGGAGCCTTGCGACTTGGATCGACAGAGGCAGAGTGCCAGTCGAGCCTCTCGAGGTTGCCTTACTTAAGTCCCTGCCCCATCGGGGTTGCTCCCCACACCGTTGGCCAGGTCTAAGTGTTCGGTTTGAATCCAAGCCTAGTGAACGCCTTCTCTTCCATTTCCTTCTCTCCCATCGGTCTTCATCGGCTTCCAGCCCATCGAGAAGTGGATGCCAACTGCTGGGATCTCAGCATCAGCTTGCTTCAGCTACTTCCATTATTATGGTACAGTCCTGGCACCGAGGCTCATGACGAGGATCCTGAGGACATGCTGCCATCGCAGAGGACAAGCTGCCTTGCATAGTCAGTGAGCGTGTCATGTATCGCAACTTGCCGCTGCAGCAGTTGTGCTCGCTGTTGCCCTGCGTAATCTACTATAGTCGTGTTACAGCTGCTCTGTCTCAAGTCTAAGTCGTAGTAGGCCCCCCTGCAAGCCGGCAGATGTCGTCGACGTCGTGGAGTGACAGTGAGTCTGTGGGCTCGGACTGGGTTCTGGTTGACGATGAGGGTGCAAGCACTGCGGGCTCGGTCGCGGACAGTTTTGACGACGATGATTCTGTGATTCCGTTCGACACGATGCTAGAGGAGTGCTTTACGACATTCTGGATGTTTCTGAATTCTCAAGAGCGTGGGCAAGTCTTGCAAGTAGCCTGGTCTGTCAATGAGCAGATCATGTTCACACTCTTTCCGAGACTTCGGCGGGATTTTCGGCAAGGCAGAGTGCCAGGAATTTTA